TCCTCCTCCTCCTCCTCCTCCTCCTCCTCCTCTTCTCCCCTAGCTCGTGGAAGCTGTGGCCGCAGTGGAAGGACACGACCAGGGCGTCAGACTCGCGGCGGGCAAGAGGGGGGCGGGAGGGGGCGAAAGCAGTGCGCCCTCCTCCTCCAAGGGAGCATGAGGAGGAGGACGACGACGGGGAGCAGGACGACGACGACGACGACGACGACGACGACGACGACGACGACGACGACGACGACGACGACGACGAACGGACGACGAGTAGGACGACGACGAGGGGGCGGCGGAAGAAGACGGATGGGTGGGAGACGAGGAGGAGGAGGAGGAGGAGGAGGAGCAGGAGGAGGACGAGGAGGAGGAGCAGGAGGAGGACGAAGAGAAAAGGAGGAGTCTAGAGGCCCCGGCCGGCAAAACCCTCCTCCTTGGGATTGGCCGCTGGCTCAGACAGCCAACCACCCGTGCGGGAGCCACTATGTTTGAGGGGCGACGGAGGAGTCGGAGCCTACCAGCTCTCGATCATGATGATCGGGCGACCGCAGGAGGAGGGAAAAAAAGGAAGAAGGAAGAAAGAAGAAGGCAGGAAGGAAGAAAGGAAGGAGGGCAGGACGGAAGGGAGGGAAGGAGGACGGAGGAAGGTGGAAGGAAAAGGAGGAAGGATGAAGGAAGAGAGAGGAATTATGAAGAAGGAAAAAGGAGGAGGAGGAGGAGGAAGAGGAGGAGGAGCAGGAGGAGGAGGACGACGACGACAACGACAACGACAAAGAGGAGGGGGCGGAGGAAGGCGGATGGGGGGGAGATGAAGAGGAAGGACAGGAGGAGGAAGATCAGTTTAGAGGTCCGGGCTGGCAGACCCCTCCCCCGGGAAGTGGATGCTGTCTCAGAGGGCTGGCCAGCCCTGGGGGAACCGCCCTGTTTGAGGGGCGGCGGAGGAGTCTGCTCGGGCGGCGGGAGAGACCCGCGCGCGCCTGCAACAGGAGGCTGTTCGGGTGGCGGGACAGACACGCGCGCGCCCGCAGGAGGATAAGGAGGTTATGAAGGAAGCAAAGGAGAAAGGAAGGAAGGAAGGAAGGAAGGAAAAGAGGGAGGAAGGAAGAAAGGAAAAAAGGAAGAAAGGGAAGAAGGAGAAAGGAGGAAGGAGGAAGCTAGGACGGAGAAAGGGGGCGTCCAAGAGGGAGGCGTCCAAGAGCGAGGGTCGCTATTCATGGCATCAAGCGCGTACGCGGTGGAGGACGGCACACGGGCCGCATTGAAATCAAAAAGACGGGGGCATGAAATCTTGGAAAGTATCACGGCCTTGGCCACGACATCCACCACACCACCCAGACATCACCCCACCCTTAGCCGCCCCCGAGAGAAGCAATGAGGAAGGACGAAGGCTCAGGCGTTGAGGTGCGTGGGCGGCCACGGGACCCTCAAGACCTCGTCCCCGACAGGCCTCCAGGAGGCCCCCTGGGAACCCCGACCCGAGTTGGCAACTGTTGGGGGCCAGTCGGGGTGATCCCAGCTTCAACTCGACTGGTGCCCCCCTCGATGGCACTCTGCTGCTAACCCATTCCCAACGCGCAACACGACGCCCAGCCTTAGCTGGCCGACGCCACGCCCGACGTTTCCTTCTGGAGCTCCCATGGGGGCGCAGGTGGCGGTGTGGTTGCCACTGGCGATCCCCACCCGCAAAATGTTCTCGGGCAGCGGGTTGATTTGATGAAGCTGGGCAAGCATCTTCTGGTACGTAAACATCCCTCGGGGAAGGCAGACACGCGCATTGCTTCGCGTTGAGGTGGATGCGCGCCAACTGGGTGGACATATTACGGAGATGTACTGCTCATCCACTTCTCTTCTCGCCGAAATTCGCCCGGGAATCACTGGCTGGCGGGGACGCGCCAAGTGCCGCGAAATCCCGCAAGCCCGACGGGCGTGGGTAGTATAGAAGACCCGCCCGTGCAGACCCCGTCAAACTCCGCGCCGAAGACTGCCCACTTCGCTCTTGGACAGCACAACACAGATGGGGAGCGAATGGGACTGGGCGAGGAGCTGCTCCTGGGCTGGGATGAATTTTGCACGTTGCGCCAAACCCGTAATTTTGTGGTCAGTCGATATTGTGGATCAGCGAAAGTCTGGACGAGAAAAGCTCTTTCCGTCGGTAACCTATGGCAAGTTCGCTCCCGCAGCAGTCTATCGGCATGGCTGGGATCACGAAGAAGTTCTGGCCTTCTCAAGGCGGCACGAACGCCAAGAAATAGGCAGTGAGGCGCCAAAGCCGCGAAAGGTTGTGGAGGACATGGATGTGAGGGGGACCAGGAGGAGGAGGAGGAGGAGGAGGAGGAGGAGGAGGAGGAAAACGAGGACGAGGACAGCAGGGAGGAGGGGAAGCGGAAAGCATGCTCCTGACCACCGCCCACCGCTTCCCCACGTGCCTTCCCCGAGTCATGTGGCGAATTCTCTGCCATCCCACTCCCAACGATAATATCCATCAGAACCTACCTTTCCTTCCCAGAACTGATGCTACTAGCAAGAAAATGCCCATGTCAAACTGACACCGACAGAAAATCATGGACAACTCGGGGCTGCACTGCCGTGCAGGCGGCCTTTGCCAAACAACCTGCAACTCAAATTCACGCACTGGGGGGGCACCGCGGAGCCTTCTTGAGTACCTCTCAGAAGCCTCTTGGTGGCCTTCGGGGGGCCTCTCGGGAGCCTTGAGGCCGCTTGGGGGCATTGGGGTCTCTCGAGGCCTCCTTGGGCCGCTGGTAATGCAAACAACGTGTTCCCTTCTGGCATTATCGATATCTGGGTCGGCTTGGGGCCCTCTTTCTTAAGGGCTAAAGATGAACAAACTCTCTGGGTTTCGCGCGGAGTTCTGAGTTCTGCGCTGGACATTCCCTTGCGCCTGAAGCGTCATCATGGGGCGATCCAGCGCCAATCCAGACAATCCGCTCGGACCTCCGAGACGCTCTGCCTGTGGCGGCGCTTTCTCCTTCGAGACGTGGGCGCCAGGGCTGGCATCGCATGCCTCGCGTCCTTCTTAAACGGTGGGCGGGGCCTCTCGGCTCTGTTGAAGCCTTGGAGCTCCCCGCTCAAAGTCGGCGGCGCGCACCGGGGGCCAGGAAGAGGGGGCGGGCCTCCTGAGCAGGCTTAGGTCGGGCATGTCTCCTACAGGCGGAGTCGGGACGACAAGTAAAGCAATAGTCAAAACAAAATTCAACAATAGTCCAAAAGTACTCAAAAAATCGTTCCCTGACATTTTTTGTACTATGTTCGAACATTCCTCCTGCAGAGGGACAGGCCCGACTTAAGAGCAGGCTCGGATGGCCTCGGGCCCGCTGAGAAGCTTTCTGTGCGGTTTCCGACGCCACAGAGGGCTTGCATGGGCGACGAGAAGACAATGGTCTTACGCAGGATGCCACGGCGAACTTACGCGGTGGCTTGCGCGGACCGCCCTACACTGGAGACGAGGGCGCCTACGCGCGACCTTACGCAGGCAGCTCACGCGCGAATGTCGGCGCAGTCGATCCCCTTTCTGTCGTCTGACAAGCCCCGCCGCCTTCTCAGAAGGCCTGCCACCTCTCGTCAGCGGCGAGCGAGGGGGGGAAAAAAAAGAAGGCCTTCTCAGAAGGTTCGGAAGCCCCCCAGCCTTCTGAGAAGTTGTCCTAGCCTTCCCCGAAGACACAGCAAACTTTTCAGAAGGCGCGAGGGCTTCTGAGAAGTCCCGCCGCCTTCTGAGAACGCCTTCCCCTCCTCGCTTCCCCCCCCCCTCGCTCGCCGCCTTCTGACAGGCCTGCCACCTCTCGACTGCCCCCCTGAGCGCGCCGCCGAAAAATTCTCACGGTCTGTGACGGCCGAGGCTGTCGTCCTGGCCGCCACGGCTGCAGGGGCTCGCGGGCCGGGGGCTGCACGGCTGCGCCGCCGCGCGCCCAGCGCCGAGCCCGGTGCCACTGGGGGGGAGGGCGCGCTCTCGATTCCGTGAGCAAGGGCAGGCCTGCGCTGGATCGGATCGCGACATCGGATCGGGTCGGGAGCGGATCGAATCGCCAGCGAATCGTCCCGAATCGGGTCAGCTGCTGACGCGATTCGGGACGATGCTGACCGTCAGCATTGAATCGCCGCGCACCGCTTCCGGCTGGCCATGGCCGATGCCGCATCGGATCGGAATCGCGGCCCCAGCCGGCAAATCGAATCGCACCGAATCGCATCGTAGGCGGCCCTGTCGATTCCGTAATACAGGGGGGGGTCTGATGCCCGCCAGACGGGCCATTTCAGGCCCCCCCAGACGAGCCATGAAGGGGCGGCCTTTTGCCCAGACCCCCCAGACCGTCCAAAACGGCTCACATGAAACCCCCACCCCAAATAAGGCCTCCCCCACTTAATCACGGAATGGGGAAGACCCAGAGGCCTCCCAAATGGGGTCCGAGTAGACGGGGTCGCAGGGTCGCGCCGCATCGCTGATGCATCGGCGACGTCGACGTGGAGGAGATCGGGCTACACATGGATCCCCATCGCCGATGCATCGGCGGTGCGGAGCGATCCTTTGGCCCCAGCGACTCGGATCCCTCTGGGAGGCCTGGAGCACCGTCGAGGCTCGCGCCGCCCGTGGGTCGTGGCCGAAGGTTCAGACCTACACAGACTCACAGAAATGAGTTCCTTCTGGGGACCTGCCCTGACGGCTGCAGAACCACCCGCACAATGACCACCCCGATAAACGAGGATGCTTAGTAAACGCGCTTGAAGAAGAAATCGAGCAGGGTAGGGCTTTTCAGCAAACGTGCAGGACAGTGTAGCAAACGCCAATTACTGGGGCAGGGGTGTTTTGTCCTCCATCGATTCCTGGAATCACTCCCTCCAACCTGGGGGAAACAAAGAGATACCGATACCGCGACTCCCTGGACCTCTCCAGTGGTGCGTTCTGACCACAATTTCAAGGCGATTTTCGCCGAGGTAATGTGGGAAGGGTAGCAGTATCGGTATTTTTCCTCCTCTGACACTCATGCGTCGATGCTGCGTCGAACGTCCTTCAACTTAAGCCGAACTTTAGCCGAGCGTGAGTCGAACTAGAGTCGGGCCAGAATCGAGCTAGAGTCGAACCGGAGCCGAACAGATCGCTCAGGTGGGCCTGCGGAAGATCCCCAGAACAACCATCTGAAACAAATATCGAACCCGAGGCTTGTCTGAATGTTCGGCCTCCGCGGGCCAATTTCGGGCCCTGGTGCTGTCAAAAACAACTCGGAACGGAAAGCCGGCCCCAGGGAAAGGGTCGAGGGGTCGGGGGGGCCGAGGCTCGAAAAGACCGAGTCGTCGGAGGTCTGGAAGTCATCAAAAAATGAAGGTCGGAATGATGTCATGATACGACTGGCTCAGAAGGAGTTACAGGAATTCTTCAAGATCTAGCCGCCGTCGTTTCTGGAGCCCGCGCGAAACAGAAAGAAGCCTGGGAAGAAATGATGGAAATCCTGCAACGTACCATTGGCGCAAGCTCAATGGTGCTCAAGTTTGAAAGGGGTTGGGAGGCCCAACCAGCAGTTTCGCCTTAGGCGAAGCCCAGATCCAGCTCTGTTGTATCGTAGTATCGATAGTCCAAGTAGTAGGGGGTCGTCGCAGAAGCGACGGGCCATATCAAACGAAGGATGTTTTCGGTCTCGATGGCGAATGGTACACCTCGCACTGAAGTGTAGTCAGATTTGGAGAATTGATACCAGCGCCAACTCCACCAGGGAAGATAATCCTCGATTTCGGTGATGTTGCTGATCTCTCGGCCACCTAAGGAGCCCGAATATTACCACCATCACCGAGATCAGGATCATCCCTTCCCTCGGTGGATACAGCCGCCGACCCTAGTGCTGGCGCCAACCTCGAGGCCTCCGACTTTATGCCCGCCGGCACATGAGGAGGAGTGGGCAAGGGGGCAAGATGCGCCCCAGGTGGCCGTGAGGCTCCCGATTGGCCCAGGGCCCGTGGCTCGCCTCGTCCACCGGGCCCCCGGGTTCGCCGCAGGAGGCTCCCGGCGGGCTGCGCCCCGGCCTCAGGGAAACCTGTCGGGGGGCGTCAACCATCCCACCTCCTGATCATTTTCTTCGGGTGGGTGGAGGGCAAAGGGTGAAATCTGAAATGCCGCTTCGATGGATTTTCGAGGCTTGATCTGCAAAAGGCGAGCAACAGAGCGGATTGATTTTCGAGGTGCCAGAGCCCATGTGGACTGCACCCCGAGCCCTCCGCCCCGAGAGAATGCTCAGACCTCGCCGATCCGTGCTGCGCCGGTCTTGGGCGCGGAGCCTGGCACGGGGGAAACGGGGCGCCGCAGGAGACTGCTGCTGGGAGGTGCCCGCCGCCCGCGGGCCCCGGGGGGCCCAGCCCGGGGCCCCCCGGGGCCGACAAAGACCGCGTCGGGACGAGGCTCTGGTCCCGGGGGGAGGAGCCCCGAGGTCCAGGACCCCTCTCCCTCGAGGCTCCTTGGGCGCCCGAGCTACCTCGGGGCAGCTCGGGCCCGGGGTAACCTCGGGTTCGGATTCCCGAGGAGCGAACCCGAGTTAGCCCTGACCCGAGCTAGTCCTGATGATTCGGGGCTCCGGACGCCCTCCTTCATTCGAGATGGCGGCGCCACCAGGGAGGTCGAGCGCCGACGCAAGGCATCGGCGCAGGCCTCCGAAAGTGTACTTTATGCCGTGTGTTCTTCGAGCCGTGGCGACAAGGTGGGCCCAGCCAGGATCGGTGAGGTGGACAGCGGAAGTCCCTCGGGAGCCTGTAGCCCATCTGGTCCAGCAGGCCCCCAGGCTCGTTGTAGTGCTTGCGCAGCGGGTTGCGCTGCAGCTTCATGGAGGCAGTGACCAGACCTCGGGGTACCCAAAATCTCTTACTCAAAGGCGTTGCACGCTCTGGGTACTCATGATGCGCCTCCCCTGAGACCTGGGCATCGCAGTTCGTTCACACCTAGTATTGTTGCCTGAACTCGGGCCCAGGACCCTCAAGGATCGCTCTGGCTCGAGAACAATTTCGCAGAAAGTCTGGAGCTCCAATCTGGATTGTTGCACGATGCTGCAGTTTGTCCGCGACGTGGGATCTCAATGGTCTCTGGGGAGCTACAGATTGGGCGTTCATTCTGGTGACCTTCCTGGAGCCACTCGGATCTCGATGGTCTCTGGGGAGCTCCGGATTGGATGCTCGTTCTGGGGACCTTCCTGGAGCCACTCGAATCTCAATGGTCTCTAGGGAGCTCCGGATTGGATGCTCGTTCTGGGAACCTTCACAGAGCCACTCGCTCCACTCGATACTGCGTCGAATATCCGTGGACTTGAGTCGAATTTGAGTCGTACTCGAGTCGAGCTAGAGCCGAACTAGAGTCAAGCTAGAGTCGAAGTGGAATCGAACAGATCCGTCAGGTGAGCCCCAGGTTGGAGGCGGCTGGGGGGGCTGAACTGGCTGGGACCCCAGAAAATCGGCCGGATTAGGCCGCCAGAACATCGGAATCGTATCGGATCGGACTGGCCAAAATCGGTATCCAATCGGATCGCTCAGATCGAAATGGGCCCTGGAGATGGGGTGACGGGAGGAGCTCGAAGTATACACTGTTGCCTGGTCGACAAAGGAAATCAGTGTATATAGGCATCGTGAGGAACGAAAGCGCTTTTCTGGCCGCGGCAAGCCTCGTCCACGAATAGCTTCCCCGACCTGGATCTACGGGTCCGACAATGACAGTCCCTCCTGAATATAAGGTGGTCCTTGTTTCAGCGTCTTGGCTATATAAGCCAAGTCGTCTAGTCGACTAAGAAGTCGGTGTATAGACGCATTCAACTGCCCAAGCTGTGGAACGCAAGATTGTTTGTTCACCGAGCTCCGTGCCCCCACTCCCTGGCTCTTTGGCCGACCAAAACACGGGGTGCATACATACATGGAGCCCCTCCGAATGGCCAGCAGGGGCTCCAGCGCCGCTGGTTCTGCGAACTTTCCAACGGATATTATGATGTGCGCTTTTTGTTTGACCCTAGTGGGGAAAGCAATGGGTACTGATACTGCTACTCCCTGGACCTCTATCGGGGTGCGTTCTGACCAGAATTTCGAGGCCAATCCAGCGGTGGCGATGAGGGCCTCCCAGGAGGCCCAGGAAAGGCGAAAGCCAGGCAAGGGTAGCTGTATATCGGTATCTTTCCTCCCCCGAAGTGGAAGAAGTAGTCAGACCGTTGTCTGGAGTCCAGATCTCCTCGTCCACCTTCACCTTGGTGGGTATCTCGAACTTGGCGAGCTTCTGGGTGCGCAAGCTCTCCCCAATCGCCTTAACGAGCTCGGCCTCGACGGGCTTGCCGCCGACTGACTTCCAGCCCTTTTCGGGCTGAGACACGATACAGACACAATGGTCCTTGTCCGGGCTGGCAAACACAACGGCGGCACCGATCCCGGTAACCTGCTTGAGGGCGGCCTCGACTTTGCCCAAGGCAACGTACTCGCCACCAGAGAGTTTGATCAGATCCTTCTTACGGTCAATGATCTTCACCGTGCCGTTTTCCATCATGCAGCCGATGTCTCCAGAGTGGAACCATCTCTGCCCGTCCGCATGTATCGGCAAGTCCTCGTCCGTCTTCTCCTTCATTTTGTAGTACCCCAGCTGGGTGACGTTGTGGCCGGACAGAAGCAGCTCGCCCCTTGGAGGGTCGTCAGTCACGAGGTAACCCATCTCAGCACACGACAACAGCTTGATTTCTGCCGACGGCTGGACTGGTCCCACCCTGCCGGCGCTCAAGTCCTGCGGGCGCCCATCGGAAGAGACAACCTCCTGGATGGTCATCGCGCCAGTCGTCTCCGTGCATCCGTAGCCCTGCGCGACTGGCGCGAGGACATTGCTGATGTAGTGGTGCGTCTCGGCAGACAGCGGAGCCCCACCGGAGCCGATGATGCGCATCTTCTGGAGGCCGAGCTTAGCCTTGACCCCATTCAGCACCGGACCCTGGAGCCCAATTCCTGAAAGCATGCTCGCAATGACGCTCTCCTCGCCATGGTGGCCTTGGTGCACGGTTTCCCCCAGGGCCGTAGGCGACCCCCGAGGAGGAGGAAGAGGAGGAGGAGGAGGAGGAGGAGGAGGGGGAGGAGGATGAGGAGGAGGTGGAGGAGGTGGAGGGGGAGGAGGAGATGGAGGAGGAGGAGGAGGCGGAGGACGGGTCGCCTAAGCCCTTCGGAGAAACCCTCCAGGCCTTGGGCGTGCCTAACTGCAGTTCGTACCAGCTGGCCCTTGAAGCCCTCCATTGCCTTCAGCTTCATCTCCAGGCCAGTCTTGATCAGGTCGAGAATCGCCGGCACGGCGAGCATGAACGTCGGCAGCAGAGCAAGCAGGTCTGATCCCTCTTGGTTGTCTTGGGCTATGAAGGGCGACCCAGATGTTCGCCGGCCCCCTTGCGGGGCCATCAGGCTGCGAGGATTAGGCTTGCAGCTCCTTGTACCAGTTGCAGTTTCCAGTTTCCACTGTTACAGTCCTGCTTTGTGCTTCCTTACACAGCTCTGGCAAGTCCCATGCTAAGAGAGGGGGGCCGGCGGCATGGAGGCGAAGCCCTTACGGATTAATGTCTTCGGGCTCCCATAACCCATACTGGCGCCAGCTACCAGAATGTTAACCTCGCCGATGAGCGCGAGGATGTGCGCCAACGGTAAATCTGCCAATGCGCCCCCTGACACGTTGAGGCGCGTCAGAATGCCTGCCCAGTGTTGTCTTCTCGCACTGCCTTGCATACATCGCCCCCCTCCCCCAGGCTTCCTGGGCCGCGCTCGAACCTCCATGGGGCTCTCGAAGCCTCTCCAGGGCTTCCAAAACAGCCAAGGCCGCCAAGATGGCCCAAGATGGCTCCAATCCCCAAGATGGCCCCAAGACGGCCCAAGATTCTCCAAGGGGCCCTTCAGTAGGGCCCGAAGAAATCATCATCATTGACTTCTTCTCAGGTGGTTGAATGATTTCCGTATTCTCGCCTTTCCGGGTTTCCGTCAGCCAACGACATCCCCAGAGGCCTCCAAGACAGTCCCAACGGTCCGAGAGGCCCCCAAGAAGGCCCAAAGACGGCTCAAAAGGCTCTCAAGATGACCCAAGAAGCCTTCAAGACAGCCCCAAGACGGCTCAGGCGGCCCCCAGACGGCCCAGTGGAGCTCCAAGAGAAGCCTCAAAGATGAACACCGAATACGCAGAACTGCCCAAAGACCGCCCGCCAACGGCCCAAGGATCCCCCAAGAGGCCCTGAGACGCCCCCAGGAGGCCTACAAGAGGAGAAGGAGGGCAGAAGATCGAGGAAGGAAGGAAGGACGACGACGAACACGAAGCGAGACACCCCGACACTGCATGGAAGAGCGACACACTTGTCGAATCCCCCAAGCCTCGAGACAAGCGGTGCCACACGTTACGGATTCCTGTGCGCTCCTCGAACAATCGTTCACCGAGTGCTGGACTGGCAGTGGGGGTCGTCGGATCGAATCGGAGCGCGCACTGGAATCCAGTGACTGGTGACCGGATCGGACCGCGTCGGCACGGACTCGGAACCGAATCGGCTCGGCCGCGCCGGGTTGCACAGCACCGCCATGCAAAGCGCGAGCCGCGTCGGATCTTCGGAATATCGGAATCGAATTTGATCCGGCCAGCTGGAATCGACATCGAATCGGGTCGGCTGGATCAAGACGGGCCCTGTACGGTGGCGGGACTTGCCGCAGGCAGCCGGATAGGAGATGTACACGTCGTCTGGCCCGGGCCTGATGACACCCTGCGCCTCCACTCCCGCGATGAGAGAGACGAAGTTCTTCTGCGTCAGCATGACACCCTTGCTGGTCTGAGCTAGAACGAATCACGAAATCGGATCGGATCGGAAGCGGATCGGATCGAGAGCGAATCGTCCCGATCCGAATCGAAATCGGATCGCAGCACCGGGCCCTGGCTGGCCCTAGCCTATGCCATTGAATCGAACCGAGCCGAATCGAGTCCCCAGCCGGCGAATCCAATCGCATCGAATCGGATCGTAGGCGGCCCTACCTTGGGCACTCCTGTGGACCCCGAAGTGTACATGATGAAGGCGAGGTTGTCCTCCTTGGGGGCGATGGCGCCCAGATTGATGCTGGTCGCAGCCTTCCCCGACGCGATCAGCAGTTCCATGGTCGTCAACTTGGCCGAGGACTCCGCCTGCATTGCTGCTACCTCGGCGGCGCCAGGGAAGGACACCTTCTCGCCACCCACCACCTCCTGAGGCAGCCAGCACTTTCCGATGAGAACGACGTGCTTCAGATTCGAGCACCTGGGCAAAACGGTCTTCTTCAGCGCGTTGTACTGTATGAAATCCATGACGAGCACCGGACACTCTGTCTCGTTGAGCCCGTGCACCATTGCATCGTGCCCAAGAGTCGTGTACACCGTGGTGATCGGGATGTCAACCTGAAAGGCAGCCTGCGCGGCCATCTGCCACTCCGCCGAAGTCTCTGCAAGAATGGCCACCGTGCACTTGCCTGCCCCCTTCAGAGCCTGAACACCGTCTAGCGAAAGCAGTCCCCTGGCCGCGTCCTGGATGTCAACAAACACCTCCGAGTAGGTCCTCCACTCGTAGTCGCTCTTGTACCAGAACATCTTCTTGCCCTCGCGGACCTCACTGTGGGGGGGGCAGCGGCATCGGCAGGTCCTAAGAACCACAGCCGCCCCAGCCAGCACGGCAAGAGCCAGCCAATCCAAGACCAGGAGTGCGGCCCTGGGCCCTGGCCCCGGCTCGACTGAGCCCCCCCCCCGTCCTGGCCAGGGCCGCCGCCGCCGCCGCCGCCGCCGCCGCCCTCGCAGCGCCGGTAGCCCGCCTCTCTCGCGATGGCCCTCGTGCCCATGCACTGCCTGCGGCGGCGGGAGTGGGAGTGGAATGGGAGAACGGGCGCACTGGCCACGCCAGCGTGCCCTCAGACAAAGGAAAGACGAGTTCTCGAAGGATGGGGCAGGCCCTCCATCACGTCCTCCTCCTGCAGCTGGTTCAGGGGGAAGAGGAGATTCCAGGACGGACTGGTTCCAGACGGAGTAAGCCCAGACGGAGGCCGAGCCCTTCGTGCGGACTTGACACGCATGGACTCAGCACCCCATCAAGAGAGGCCCAGACGGAGCAAGCCCAGACGGAGACCGGGCGTTCCATACGGAATTACTCCGCACGGACTTGGCATCCTCCAGAGATTGGGCCTCGATGCATGGCGAATCCAACTGCCCGCAGATTCAAAGGAATAGCACTGGCTATCCCAGACTTGCGGCTTCTACCTGCATTACCTGCCGGCTCAGGTCTAGAGGTGGTCATACAAGGACCCTGACCCTGGAAACAGGGGAGGTCGTGGGGCCGTGGTAGAGGGGAGTGGGAAATGGGACGCAGAAGGACATCCTAGTGCTGTGCGCCCCTGGAGGTGCACGTCCGAACCAAACAGATGGTACAAACATGTTGGACTGCATCTGTGCCCAAGCGGTATGGCCAGAGAGCGCCCGCCACCGAGCCCATGCTATAAGATTTCTGCAAGCGGGCACATCGTCCCTGCAGGGCCGACACACACACACATACTCACAGGAGAAGAAGAAGAAGAAGAAGAAAGTGCTTTTGGGTGGTGCCGAGGGAAGGGTCTCGGGGGGGAGAAGGAGGGGAGGGGAGAGACGACGAATGCAAGATGAGGATACATTCGGCTAACGATGAACCGGGACACTCTTCGAGCAAGCGGGTCCGAAGCACGTACTTATCGGGCGCCGTGGCCGTTTCAGCGCGCGTCGGAAGGCTCTGAGAGCGTTCCAGAACGCTCTGGAGCGATTCACCTCCCTCATGGACCGAGATCCGGTGGGAGAGGGAGGAACTGGAGGAAGGGAGGGAGGGAGTGCGGCGCAGTCGGCGCGTAGGCTCTCCTTCAACAACGGCAACAAGCTGACCCACTACGGCCAGATGACCACTTCGAAGTGAACCTCATGTGCCGACTGCGAGTGCCCGCCTGCCCCGCCAGCTAACTCACACTGCCACCACCGACGACAAGACGGTACGCTGTGCGAGGAGCCCCTCGACCCCTACGGGTTCCCACCGAATCATGCGAGGTGGGCTGCTCTCGAACGGCCGGCACGACCTGCTACGTGACCGACATGCTGCGATGCAGAAGGACATCACGGGTCATGCTGCACCGACGGAACCATCGACGCCAGGCTGGGACCGCCGCAACCCCTGGACTGGGGGTGCTACAGGAAGCAAAGCCGGACATTCAAGCGCATGACGGTCTGGACTGGGCGGCGACCTGCATACACTCTACCTACGGCCATGCAGGCTTGCTCGCTCCCAAAAACGACGGTCTCGCGGCTACCCATATGGTCGACGTCAAACGCGGCCAGTGTCCTCCCAGGAGGGCCTTGACCTCGTCCCGATGGTCTTTCAGACCGTGGGGTGGCCTTCCGATGAGGCACTGAGCTTCGTGCAAAGCTGCTGCGCCTGCTTGGAGAACGCCGAGCGGTCTGAGCTTCTCAGCCAGATCTGGCGCGACATCTCCAACACTCTCTAGCAAGGGAACGCGGAGATGATCCTCAGTGCCCTGGGCAGGTAAGCGCTAGCAGGCCGCTTCTACCATCACAATGGAGATCACTAATATCACGACAACAACGCATCGTCATCGTCATCGTCATGGTCGTCGACGTCATCGTCATCATCATCAGCAGCAGCGTCAGTGTCAGCATCAGCATCAGCATCACCATCACCATCATCATCATCATCATCATCATCATCATCATCATCATCATCATCAGCATCGTCATTAACACTATCATCATCAACATTATTAGCATCGTCGGCATCGTCATAATAAATATCGGCATCAGCACCAGAAGAAGCATCAGCATCAGCATCCTCGTCACCAACACCACCACCATCATAATCATCAGAATCATCACCAGCATCATCATCTTCATCATTGTCATCATCGCCATCATTATCATCGTCGTCGTCACAATCATCACCAACATCATCACCATCATCATCATCAATACCCTCATCATCACCAATATCATCCATATCAATATCATCATCACCGTCGCCGTCGTCATCGTCACCACAATCACCACCACCATCATCACCATCATCATCATCGTCATCACCATCATCACCAATGTAAGCAATCTCAATATCACCATAACCCATACCATCACCATCATCATCGACATCATCTTCGTCATCATCGTCATCGTCACCGTCATCATCATCATCATCATCATCATCGTCCTCACCATCATCAGTGACCATCATCACCGTCATGCCCATCATCATCGTGATCGTCGTTATCGCCATCAGCGTCGTCATACTTATCATCACCAGCATCGTCATCGTAAACAGCAGAATCATCACCATCGTCGTCGTCGACGCCGTCAGCATCAACACCGCCGTTATGAGCACAATCTGCAATATCATGATCATCATCAAAAGCAGCGTCATCATCATTATCATGGTCGTCGTTGGCGTCAATGTCCTTCCCCCCCTTTCATCGTAGACAGGGTCGTCGCCAGCGTCGCCATAATCATCGGCATCGCCAACAGCATCATCGTCATCACCATCAGCACCACCACAACCACCATCATCATCATCATCATCGTCATCATCATCATCATCATCATCATGAGCATCAGCATCATCATCGTCGTCATCGTCATCAGCATCATCACCATCGTCATCGTCATCATCAGCAGCATCATCATCAGCAGCATCGTCATCGTCGTCATTTGCAACATCGTCATCATTGTCATCGCCATCGCTATCGTCGTCATCATCATGGCTATCATCATCAGAGACATCATCATCATCATCACCGTCATCGATATCGTTGTCGGCATCGTCGTCATCATCAACACTGTCCCCGTAAAGCACGGGCATCATCATCATCCTCGTCACCGTCGCCATCATCAGCGCCTTCATCAGCATCATGGTTTGCACCATCACCATCACCATTACCATCACCATCGCCAACAATATCCTCATCATCATTATCGCCACAATCATCATAGTCACCCACATCACCATCATCGTGACCATCAAGGTCATAACCGTCGCCATCGTCATCGTCAACAGCATCATCACCATCTTCACACTGACCATCAACAACATCACAATCATCATCATCATCATCATCATCATCATCATCATCATCACCATTACCATCATCATCATCATCATCATCATCATCATCATCATCATCATCATCATCAGCAGCAGCAGCAGCAGCATCATCATGGCGTCCTGTTCGTCGACAGTCGCGCACCAGAGCATTTTTTGCGTGCGTTGGCGCAAGTATCAGGCCTCCCCCAGTTGGCAGCTCACTGGTGGCCACGGCAAGCTGATAAGGCACGCAGACGGCCACACCAGCGAGCACGCGGGGGCCCCGAAGGGCCGCACGAACGTGCAAGCAGCACTGGCCACATAAGGGCCAAACCAGCTGCACCACGCGGAGGGGCACAATGGACCGCACCAACGTGGGGGGCCACCGAGCGCCTTCCCACCAGCGGCCGGGGGGGGGGCCTAGTCCCGAGCCTGATCTTGGGCCAACGCGGCCCTTTCAGGGGCCACGTTTTAGTGACTATCACCTCCACAATCCACTCTTTCCTTTTTTCTGGCTTACCAGCCGCACACGGTGGACTGGAGGCACTTGCGCCTACACACCTGCCAACCCCCAAGGCTTACCTTGCACTTGCAAGCACTTGCGCCTACACACCTGCCAACCCCCAAGGCTTACCTTGCACTGGCAACTACCCAACGGGCAACAAAAAAATGCCTGGCGAAGGACCCAGCCATATGCAGTTGTGCATACCGTCGTTGCTAATATCGGTGGATCCCCTGACGGGGCCACGAGGCGCATGAACAGTGTGCCGAAATGGGACGGGGCCGCCATGCGGGCGCTGCTATTGGGGCCTGATGTAAAGCCCACTTCTCATGGGGCCACGAAACGTGTGAGCGGTTTGCCAACATAGGGCGGCGCCGCCATGCGGACTGAGCCACTGTGACCTTACGTGGAATTCCTTGTGGAGCCACGAAACGCGCGAGGGTATGCCAGAATCTGGAGGCGCCGCCATGCGGACTGCGCCATTGGGACCTGAGGTGGAACTCCATATGGGGCAACGAAACGTGTGAGGTGTGCCAAAATTGGGCGGCGGCGCCATACGGACTGCGTCATTGGGACGTGAAGTGGAAATCCTTGTGGGGCCACGAAACGTGCGATGGGCGTGCCAAAATGGGGCGGCGGCGCCATTCGGACTGCGCCACTGGGCCATTCGGTACAGTTCCCTACGGTGCCACGAAGCGCGTGAGGGGTGCTCCAAAATCGGGCGGCGCCGCCATGCGGACAGCGCCACTAGGACCGTAAATGGAGTTCCCTATGGGGCCACGAAACGAGCGATGGGCGTGCCAAAATGGGGCGGCGGCGCCCTTCGGACTGCGCCACATGGACCTTAGGTGCAGCTCCCCATGGGGCCACGAAACGTGTGAGGGGTGTGCCAAAATAGGGCGGCGCCGCCATGCGGATTGCGCCACTGGGGCCTCAGGTGGAGCTCCCCATGGGGCCACGAAACGCGCGAGGGCGCGCGCTGGAACGGGTGATGACGATGATGCTGATGAGAGGAAGGGGAAACTGGGCAGCGGGAGGAGGAGGAGGAGGAGGAGGAGGAGGAGGAGGAGGAACGCGGGGAACTGTCTCTTCATAACGAAAATCCGGCACCACAAGATGGTTGGAACAAAAAAAAGAAAACAAAAAAAAAACGCCCCAGCCCTGGATGGCTAACTAGCCGTCTTCACCACAACACTCTCGAATCTCTGGATTGCCCCCAGCTCTTCAGGAATAGGGGAAGGGCGTCCGTGAAATAGATTCGGGCCGTTGCTGCTGGGGGGCTCGGGAGAACCACATTACCAGGGCCGCGTCCTCGACGCCCACAATGTCATGCTAATTTAACCCAGACTTAGACGAAAATTGATGACAGCAGTGTTCCTGCCCCGGCGATGGCAACGTCACGCTTCCGTATCGCCGAGACCTCGCCCGCAGGCAGCACGCAACGAAACGCAACTGCAACGGCGAGAGCAGAACGCGGGTGCCCCACGTCGCACATTACACTTGCGACAGCCAGCGCCACCGCCTGAGTCAACGGCGGAGCCCGCTCTGACAATTCGACATGATGGCCGCGAACCGAACCGAAAACGGAGAACCGGGTCTGGAACCGAACTGGCCGAACCGAACTGGCCTGCCAAACCGAACTGGCCGGACCGAACAAGCCCGCGGCGCGAACCGAACCCGCCGAACCAAGCAGGCCGAACCGAACCAACCGAACCGAATTGGCCAACCAGGCGAACCAAACTGGCCGCTTAGTGAGCCGCTCCCGCTGGGCGGCCCGCCGCGCGGCATCGGCGCCACTCGCGCCCTGCAAACGTGGCCGAATTTTTGGCTACGGAAACAGGCTGCGCCACGCTGGTCCCGGGCAAGCTGCGCTGCCCGGCGGAAGGGGGCGAGGACGGGGGAAGCAGGCAGACGACGACGGACGCCCAGGAGGGATGCCAGGGCCGGCGGAGCGGGCGGGCAGGCAGAAGAGGAGCCAGGCGGGGACAGCAGGCAGTGAGCAGGAGGAACGGAAAGGGAGGGAAGCAGCGAGCAGAGGAGGAGGAGGAGGAGGGAGGAGGAGGGAAAGCAGGCTGGGCCAGGGGCCAGGAGAGAAGAGCCACCCGCGACGAGGCTACGGACCCTACGGCGGCGACCTGAGCGGGGTGGCCGCCCGAGCCCAGCACGATGCGGCTTGGTGGGGATTGTCCTCTGCGGGATCCATCCACCGCCCCGCCGAGGAAAGGCTGGACGGCGCGTGGGAGGGTCGCCGGCGCGACGTCACCATCATCATCATCATCATCATCACCACCACCACCACCACCACCACCACCATCATCATCATCATCATCATCATCATCATCATCATCATCAGCAGCAGCAGCAGCAGCAGCAGCAGCATCATCATCATCATCATCATCATCATCAGCAGCATCCTCATCATCATCAGCATCATCATCATCAACATCATCAGCAGCAGCATCATCATCATCATCACCACCACCACCATCATCATCATCATCATCATCATCATCATCATCATCATCATGATCACCATCATCATCAGCATCCTCATCATCATCCTCATCACCATCACCATCACCGTCGCCATCACCATCATCATCTTCATCACCATCGCCATCACCATCACCATCACCATCACCGTCACCGTCACCATCACCATCAACCATCAACCATAAACCATTATCATCATCATCATCATCACCATCACCATCACCATCACCATCATCAGCAGCATCATCATCCACATCGTCAGCATCAGCATCAGCATCAGCATCAGCATCAGCATCAGCATCAGCAGCAGCAGCATCATCATCATCATCATCATCATCATCATCATCATCATCATCATCATCATCATCATCATCATCATCATCATCATCATCATCTTCACTACCGTCATCGCCGTCGTCATCACCACTACCATCACCACACGTTCACCACTATTGGCTTCGTCATCACCATCACCGTCGTCATCACCACTCCCCATCATCTCCACCCCCCTCCTCCACCCCCCCCTCTCCATCCCCCACCCTCCCTCCCTCCTCCCAGACAAGGGCCTGTCGCCGTACTTCGCGGCGGCACCGTTCAGGCAGGTCGCGATTGTGGCGGGCGCGCCCTCTGGGAGGACCAGGGGCCTGCCACGGGTCGGCGGACGCCAACTGCCCAGACCTCCAGAGACTCGATGATACCGAGCCCGAGTTTCTCGGCATGCTCGGTCTCTGGGAGACGGCCAGGGACCCTGGGACTGTCAACACTCGCTCCCGCTCGGACGTCCACTCCCCGTGCACTGCTTGGTTTCGCGCGCGTCCTTGCTCAAGGTGGTCCGAAATGCGGCAGGATGGTCCAGGTTTTCTCGCGCTGACGTCACCGAGAAGAATGCACACGTCCGAGCGGTGCCAAGCAACCAAAAACTCAGGACGGAGAACGGGCCGCCAGCCTCAGGGAAAGGAGTCGAGGGGCCCGAGGCCGCGAGACGCCAACTGCCAGCGGAGGCCTCCCAGATGGGGCCAGAGCCGACAGGGTCTAAAGGCCGCGCCGCATCGCAGCTGCATCGGCGACGGCGGGGTGGAGGAGAGCGGTCTCCCAATCGTGCCGTATCGCCGATGCATCGGCGAAGCGGCGGGATCCTCCGGGCCCCATCAAGAACGCGCGCTGCATTTTTCGCCATGACACCCGTCAGCGGCCCCGCTGGTCACGTCACGGCTCGCGCCGGCGCCGCGTGGGAATTAGCCATTCCCAGGCATTCCCAGACGGCGGTGGCGCGAATCGTGACCTGACTGGCCCTCTCCCCTCCCTCCCCCCCCCGGGTCACTGCAGCTATCGCCAGAGATACGAAACGGTCTCCAGCTCCAGGCCCCACTCGAGAGGCACGGAATCCTCCTCACCGATCGGGCGGGCGATGACCACGGCAGGAGGAGGGCAGGAGCGAGCTCGTCGTGCTGCAGGAGGCCGATCGATCCGCACTCTCTTCATCCCCCCAAGCGTTCCCCAAGGGTGTCCAAAACGGCTGGGCGAACACATCGTCCAGTAGTTTGACCAGACTCCGGCCCAACGTTAGGCCGCGTGAGAGTTTCCGAAGGGCTGGAGGCGGTGGTGATTCGCCGTAAGCGTATTCGATCCTGTCCCCGAGGTCGCGGGTCGTCTCCTGCCAACTCATGAGCACGAGAACGGCCCTCTGCAGCCGGCATCACGAAACATATGAGGTGTCGTGGATTTATCCTCTCTCCTTCTTGAATATTGTGCATCTCTGTTGGTCTGGGCACTGGGCCCTCTATCTCTGCGGGTGTGAGAGGGGCAACGATGGGGGGGGGGCTGGCGCAGGCGGGGAAACTCCGCCCTGGAATCGGCGATACGTCGCCGACTGATCGGCGTTAGGCCTGGGCCCCCGATAGCGAATCCGCAGGCTCCTGGGCGGGGTGGAGCTATCAGACCCCCTACCAGCGATCCATGGGACTGCAACGCCGCGGACTAGGTGCAGGGCTGCCGGGACGCAGCAGTCACGTCGAGTCGTGGTGCTGAAGTCCCTGGGATGGCCTTCTGGCACGTCGTCAGACTGCCAGGGCGCAACAGGCACGTGGACCCCCCCCCAGGGTGCCGATGCATCCCCCCCGGCGCCTGACTCCCCCCCTGTCGTGGCCCCCGACCCTTTGGCCCTGCGGGTGGCGAGGGCGCACCGAGCCTCACAGCGAGCTCGCCGTTGTTGTGCTTGAAGCACCACGGGTGCCGCCAATGCCTCGTGTCCTTCTCGGTGCACTTCACCTCTACCGCATAGTCCAGCTTCTGCGAAGAAACAAACAGACAACCAGGCACAGGGGAAAGGAGGGAGGGAGGTTGGGAGGGAGGTATGTGGAGGTGGAGGGCGAGAAAGGGAGAGAGCGGGGAGACGGCAGATGCACTGATGGACAGGGGGGAGAAAGCTAAAGGGAGAACCAAGTCGACGCATCACCCGGGCAAGCACCTGACGAATGCCAGCCACACGGCAGGCGCCATGTGTGGCTGAGGGAAGCGCCCGGGGAAGCCAAGCAGCCTTCGCTCAGCCAAGCACACGCATATAGGCTTCTTGCTGTGCTGGCGCCTCTGTCCCAGGCGCCCGAGCAGGGCCACATCGGCGAGCACCAGGCAGGCGCAGCTAGCACCAAGCGCACTCTGTGCGTGACTGCCGGTGATCCTCAGGACGTGTCTTAGCGCCAACGTGTGCTTGCCCACGTCCACCGCAGCCTTTCAACACGACACAGGCGGTGTAACGAGGGCCGGCACGGGCTGCGTGTCATCGGCGGGGCTGGACGGGATTGACACACACTGGGCCAACACACACCTCCTGATGATCGCCGAGACTGTAAGCGTTTGCTTCTGCGTGGTGAGGCACCAACGAAGTTGCAATCATCCCTGTGGGGAAGTGGGGCCAAACAGACAGCATAACCAACAGGCCCCAACAAACCGTACAAGCCGAAAGGCACGCACTGGCCACACGCACACGCTCCCAGGCAGAGCGCTCGTCTCGAGCTGGCATGCTGCTGGCAACCCAACCCAGTCAAAGAGTCAACTAATCATGTGAGAACGCCAGGCGCGCACTAAGACCCGCGCACAAGGAGCAGGCGGGAAGCAGTCCTGAAACCTGCGGTAAGGTCGGAATCGCCGCACGCATGGCACAAGTGCAGATCGGGAATCGGATCGAATCGGACTGCGCATCGAATCGAAATCGGGCCGCATCGGCACGGAGTCGGAATCAAATCGAATCGACCGCGCTAAGATGCACAACGGCGCCGTTCAACCGTCGGGCAGCACCGGGCCGCTGGAAAATCGGAACTCGATCGGACCGATCGAGTCGGAGTGAACCCTGGAGGGCCGGGGAAGGGAGGGAGTGAGGTATGCCGAGATCCGAGGGTTGGTGAAGGGCTTCGCCTCCCCAGATATCCTCCGATGCGAGTTTTGCTCCACGCCGCGGCCCCTCAGAGCCCGCGACCCGCTCTCCGCGGGCAATTTTGCGCCCTCGGTCCGGTTCTGCTGGCCCCGGTGATCCCCGAGAGCGGTCCCCAAAGAAGCCGCAGTAGAGGAAGCACACCGCTACTGAAAAAGACGTATCGTCAGAGGTCTGGGCCCCAGCCAAGGATCTACTGACCTGGGTCAACCCAAACCCGGGTCAGTCAGGCCTTGCAAGAGCCTGCAAGAGCCTGCAATATCTTGCAGGATCCTGCGCCCTGAACCGGGCCAGTGCACTGACCGCCGTCTTTTGCAGCATCAGTGCACTAACCCCAGTCTGTGCAGTACCTTGCAGGATCTTGCAAGATCCTGCAGTATCTTGCAAGATCCGGCGCTCTGACTGACCCCCGTTTGCATTGACCCCCGTCCCAAGGCCCGCGACCCAGCTCCTTGATCACCTCTAGCGGCGCCATCGCGTCGCCAGCAGGGCACGGGCGCGACGCGACGCCAGCACGGGCGAAGAAGGGAGACCTGCGCCCTCGCTGGAGCACGGCTTGAGCCCACGGGCAGACGTCTCCGCGGCAAACCAGCGCCGAGCTGTGCTCCTCCTCCTCCCCCTCCTCCTCCTCCTCCTCCTCCTCCTCCTCCTCCTCCTCCTCCTCCTCCTCCTCCGCCTCCTCCTATTCCCGTGCTGTGTACAAGAGAGTTTTTGTTGTTGCGGGAACTGCGGAAACTACTGTGTCAGAGCTCATGTGAAAGTGGCTGAGCCCTGTCCTCCACTGCTGGCCACTGGCAGGGCCAATTTGAGAGGGGCTGCTACCTAAATATGGTATGCAGTTCCCCTGGTGAATGTGGGGATGGGTCTGAGCAGGAACTCAGGGAGCCCATCTGAGGAAAGGTCGAAACGTCCCCCTCCTCCTCCTCCTCCTGCTCCTGCTCCTGCTCCTGCTCCTGCTCCTCCTGCTCCTCCTCCTCCTCCTCCTCCTCCTCCTCTTCTTCCTACTTCTTCTCCTCCTCCTCCTCCTCCTCCTCCTCCTCCTCCTGTTCCTCCTCCTCTTCTTCCTTCTCTTCTTCATGATCCTCTTCATCATTAGAGTAACAATCGTCATCCTCCTCCTCCTCCTCCTCCTCCTCCTCCTCCTCCTCCTCATCATCATCATCATCATCATCATCATCATCATCATCAACAACAACAGCAGCAGCAGCATCAGTAGCATCATCATCATCAGCAGCATCATCATCATCAGCAGCAGCATCAGAACCAGTATCAGCATCAGCATGATCCTCAGCATCATCAGCATATTATGCATCATCATCAACCTCAACATCATCATCAGCATCATCATCACCATCATCAGCCTCAGTATTATGATCATCAGTATCATCCACATCATCATCATCATCACCATCGCCATCACCATCATCATCAGCAGCATCAGCATCATCACCATCAACATCACCATCACCATCACCATCACCATCATCATCATCATCAGCATCATCATCATCAGCATCATCATCATCAGCATCATCATCATCATCATCAGCATCATCATCATCATCATCATCATCATCATCGTCATCGTCATCGTCATCGGCATCATCATCATCCTCATCCTCATCCTCATCATCATCGTCATCGTCGTCATCGTCGTCATCATCGTCATCGTCGTCAGCGTCGTCATCGTCGTCATCAGCATCATCATCATCATCGTCGTCGTCATCGTCGTCATCCTCATCACCATCATCATCGTCATGAACATCATCAGTTTCATCAGTGTCTCCATCATCATCAGCATCATCACAACCATCCGTATCATTAGCATCATCATTAGCAGCAGAATCATCATCATCAGCAGCATCACCCTCCTCGTCCATCATCATCGTCATCAGCAGCATCATGAACATCATCAGCCATCGGCATCATCAGCATCATCATCACCATCACCATCTCCATCATCATCACCACCATCACCATCATCACCAGCAGCATCATCATCGTCATCCTCATCACCACCATGATCGTCATCGCTACCATCAGCATCATCATCACTATCAGCATCAGCATCATCATCAGCAGCATCATCAGAATGATCATCATCGGCACCAGCATTCTCATCAGTATCAGCATCATCCTCATTAGCGTCATCGTCGGCATCGTCTTCAGCATAATCATCATCATCATCACCATCACCATCATCATCAGCGATTGCAACAGCGTCATCGGCACCATCATCGTCCTCAGGATCCTCGTCATCATCATCATCATACTCAGGGTCCTCGTCATTATCACCGTTATCATACCAATCACAGAATCTGCATCGTCAACACCACCATCATCATCACATGCAAAAATCATCGGCAGCAAGATCGAAAGTATGTTCAGCGTCCTCCTCGGCCTCCTCTTCTCCCTCCTCCTCCTCCTCCTCCGTCTTCCCTCCCCCGTCCCCATTCGTCCTCGTCCACCTCTTCCCCGTCCTCCTTCTCGTCGCCGTACTTCGCATCCCCCGTCCTCCTCACGCTCCTCGTCATCCTTCTACCGCACCCTCCCTCTCAACTCCCCCCTCCCCATCACTCGTCCCACCTCCCCCCCCCGACCCCTCCTCGGCCTTGCTCCGCCTCGTGGGCTCGTAGATGCGGGGCACGGGTGTTTCATAGAAACGCAGCCCTCCCTTGTTCTTCTTCCTCCTCCTCCTCCTCCTCCTCATCCTGCTCCTTCTCCTGCTGCGACTCCACCTGGTCATCCTCCTCCTGCTGAGCTCGTACTATGTCATCCTCCTCCTCCTCTTCCTCCTCCTCCTCCTCGTCATGACCCTCATAATCAGAGTAATCCGCATCATCGGCATCGTCATCAGCAGCATCATCACCACCATCAGCATCATCATCAACATCATCATCACCAATCATCATCAGCAAGAGAAGCATCATAATCATCATCATCATCAGCAGCAGCATCGTCATCGTCAGCATCAGCATCATCCTCATCATCAACCACATCATCGTCATCCTCAGCATTATCATCATAATCTGCATCATCATAGTCATCTGAATCATCATCAGCAGTGGCATCCGCATCAGCATCAGCATCAGCATCATCATGATCATCAGCATAATCATCATCAGCATCACCATCATCATCAGCCTCATTATCATCATCATCAGCATCATCAGCATCATCAGCATCAGCATCAGCACCATCATCATCAACATCATAAACATCAGCATCCTCACCACCGCCATCACCGTCATCAGAATCATCAACATCAGCACCATCACAACCATCATCATCATCAGCAGCAGCAGTAGCAGCATCATCAACATCATCATCAGCATCTGCAGCATCGTAATCATCATCAGCATCACCATCACCATCAGCATCATCATCAACATCAACATCATCATCATCATCGTCACCATCAACAGCATCATCAGCAGCATCATCGTCATCGACAGCAGCATCATCATCATCATCATCATCATCATCATCATCATCATCATCATCATCATCATCATCCTCATCCTCATCCTCATCCTCATCCTCATCATCATCATCATCATCATCATCATCATCATCATCAGCATCATCATCATCATCATCATCATCAGCATCTTCAAAATTTGCCGGCCCAACGGGCCAGAGGCGTGCTAAGATCTCCGGTAACTCAATATATCTAGTTCGCGCGCGCGGGGCGGCCCCTGGGGGGCCCCGGACGAAAAATACCCCGGCTGACCCCCGGCCGGGTCCCGGCTGGGTCCTGGGCGATCCCCAGGGGGGAGACTATTTTTCGCCGCCCCTCACGAGGATCGTGGCCTCCGAGGGGGGGGCTGCAATCTACTACCCCTCCTCCCACCCCAAGGGGCACCCAAGAGCCCCACAAGAGGCCCCAGGGGAGCCCAATACGCCGCCAAGGAGCCCCAAGACGCTCCCAAGAAGCCCCCAAGAAGCCCCCAAGACGGCCCCAAGAGGCCCCAAATAGCGCTCCACTGCCGGCGGAATGAGCGAAGCGATTAAATAATCAGCATCATCAGCAGCATCAGCATCAGCATCATCATCAGCAGCATCATCAGCATTATGATCAGCATCATCACCTTCATCCTCACCGTCACCATCACCATCACAATCATAACAATCATCAGCATCAGCAGCAGCATCAGCATCATCCTCAGCATCATCATTCTCTGATGTTTCATCCTCAACAACAACATCACCATCACCATCAGAAGCATTATCACCATCACCATCATCACGATCATCATCATTATCGTCATCAGCATCATCATCAGCAGCATCAGCATTATCATCATGGTCGTCATCATCGTCAGAATCAGTATCGTCATCATCGTCGTCACCATCAGCATAATCGGAATAAGCATTTTCATCATGAGCCGCATCATCAGCAGCAGCATTATGCTCGTCAGCGTCAGCGTCATCGTCATCGTCATCGTCAGCAGCATCATCAGCAGCAAGAGCATCATCGTCATCAACAGCATCATCAAAATAATCAGCATCATCAGCAGCATCAGCATCAGCATCAGCATCATCATCAGCCTCATCATCAGCATTCTCATCAGCATCATCACCTTCATCCTCACCGTCACCATCACCATCACAATCATAACAAGCATCAGCATCAGCATCTGCAGCAGCATCAGCATCATCATCAGCATCACCATGCTCTGATGTTTCATCCTCAACAACAATATCACCATCACCAACAGCAGCATCATCACCATCACCATCATCACGATCATAATCATTATCGTCATCAGCATCATCATCAGCAGCATCAGCATCATCGTCATCATGGTCGTCATCATCGTCAGAATCAGTATCGTCATCATCGTCGTCACCATCAGCATAATCAGAATAAGCATCATCATCATAAGCCGCATGATCAGCAGCAGCATTATGCTCGTCAGCGTCAGCGTCATCGTCATCGTCATCATCATCATCATAACCATCGTCATTACTGGTCAGTAACACTACCATCAACAGATTCAACATCATCCTCATCATCATCACCATCAACAGCATCATCAGCATGATCATCAGGATCAGCATAATCAACAACATCAGCAACATCATCAGCAGCATCATAACCATGATCATCCATCGTCATCGTCGTCGTCGCGGTCGTCGTCATCATCATCATCATCATCATCGTCATCATCATCATCATCATCAGCATCATCATCATCATCATCATCATCATCGTCATCATCATCATCATCATCATCATCAGCAGCAGCATCATCATCATCATCATCATCATCATCATCATCATCATCATCATCATCATCATCATCATCATCATCATCATCATCATCATCATCATCATCATCATCATCATCATCATCATCATCATCATCATCATCATCATCATCATCATCATCATCATCATCATCATCATCATCATCATCATCATCATCTTTATCATCATTATCATCGTCATCACCACCACCATCATCATCATCATGCTGCTTCTCCTACTCATACTCCTACTCCAACTTCGGCTTGTACTCCTACGTCTACTCCTGTCCCTGTTCACTAATTTTTCTATACTCCCACTCTGAGACTGTGCCGGCTGATGGCGACCACATCTGGGCCCTTCAATCCTGAGTACGAAGACACAAAACAAGATCGCCCGTTCGCCTCCCAACATGAACCTTACGTCGTCCATGTTGAAATATGTGCGACAGGAAAGGGACGGGGCGCTCATCTCGCGCGACAGGCCGAAATGTCGCTCTCGCCTCGGCACCGCGCCTTCTGTAGAGTTGAGCTGCCGCTGAGCCGCGGTCCAATCTTCGCACGCCACGCCACTTCTTCGACGCGCGAGCGGGCGACACTTCGCGAGTTCTCGCCTCGGCGAGGCGCAGAGTTCGCAGGAAAGCGGCGCTCACGCCTCGACGCGGCGCACATTTGGCCGCTCGCCTCTGCTGGGGGGCCCGCGCAGGGCGGGCGACGTGTCGCCCCTCGCCCAGGCTCCGTGCGCAGATGGGTCGCGAGGGGCGTTCCAGCGCGGGTGCGGCGCAGCGGCAGCGGGGCCGCGCGGGGGCAAGCGCCGCGCCGCGTGCACGAAAACGGCAGTGCCGTGTCGGCGCGGCGCATGCCTCCTGTCTTCGCCGCGCTCATCGGAAGGTTGGCCAGTCCCGTCCCTGCGCGACCCGCGTAGTCCCACCAGCCCTTTGGGCGTGAGTGGTTTGAAGAGCCCGCTCTGTCCTCAACCCCCCTTCTTCCCCTTCGGGGAGGGGTTTACCCCTCCCCCTACCCCCTCCCCCTGGGCCTGGAGAGGGGCTCCCGCGGGTGGCCACGGGGGTCTTTTTCGACCCCTGGGAGGGCTAAAAAACGACGACCCTCACGAGGATTGTGGCCCCGACGGGGGGACCGAGTTTGGCCCCTCTGCTCTTCTTTGAAGCCAAAATAATTGATTTTACTACGGTTTTGGCCACATGTTGGCCTCCTGAGGGGGCCGCGCTCATCTTCCTTCATAGCAAAATCATTGATTTTACGAAGGTGTTGGGCTCAGTTTGTCCTTCTCAGGGGGCAGCGCTCATTTGCGCTTCTGAGGAGGTCGCAAGAGGCCCCAAGATGGCCCCAAGAGGCCCCCAGGAGGCTCCCCAGAGGCCTCCAAGAGGCCCCCAAGAGGCCCCCAAGAGGCCCCCAAGAGGCCCCCAAGAGGCCCCCCCAAGAGGCCCCCAAGAGGCCCCCAAGACTCACACCAGGACGAGGACTCACACCACGCCCGAACGACTCACACCACGAGGAGCCCGAACGACTCACACCACGACGCGGGCCCCGAACGACTCAGGAGGAGGGGCCCGAACGACTCACACCAGGATGAGGGGCCCGAACAACTCACACCACGAGAAGCCCGAACGACTCACACCAGGACGAAGAGCCCGAACGACTCACACCACGAAGAGCCCGAACGACTCACACCAGGAAGAAGGGCCCGAACGACTCACACCAGGACGACAAACCCCGAACGACTCAAATCACGAGGAACGCGTTCTCTCCCTCCTCCTCCGCCTCGTCCTTCTCCCGCTCCCCCCACAAGGAGGATGTAGAAGGAGGCGGGAGGAAGGAGGAACAGGGGAGATATGCGGGGCCAAGCGGACACACGCCTGAAAAACACGACTGTCGGCATGCTTCGCAAGAGTGGCTGCTGTGAGATGGGCTGGTGGGGATACGCGAAGCGTAAAGAATTTTCTCTTCGCCAAGTCGTCGGAAGTGGGACCGCGCGCGAGCGCCCGTCGTTTACGAGGTAAGAGCGCATTCCAGTCCCAGAATCAAGTTGAACCACGCTTGATTCGTATCTTGTGGAAGGGAGGGTGGCAGTAAGCGGGGCCCTTTGACTCGCTCGACCTGTACTCCGACTCATCATCATCATCATCATCATCATCATCATCATCATCATCAGCATCATCATCATCATCATCATCATCATCATCATCATCATCATCATCATCAGCAGCATCATCAGCATCATCATCATCATCATCATCATCAACATCATCATCATCATCATCATCATCATCAACATCATTAACATCATCACCATCATCATTATCATCATCACCATCATCATCAGCAGCAGCGGTATCATCATCATCATCATCATCATCATCATCATCATCAGCATCATCATCATCATCATCATCATCATCATCATCATCATCATCATCATCATCGTCAGCATCATCACCATACCCATCAGCATCATCATCAGCAGCATCATCGACATCATCATCATCAGCAGCAGCAGCAGCATCATCATCAGTATCACCACCACCACCACCACCATGATGTTCGTCATCATCAGCATTACAATCATCAGCAGGCATAATCAACATAATCAGCATCGTCATCAGCATCGTCAGCATCAGCAGCATCAGCATCAGCATCAACATCAGCATCAGCATCAGCATCAGCATCAGCATCATCATCATCATCACCACCATCATCATCATCATCATCATCATCATCATCATCATCATCATCATCATCATCATCATCATCATCATCATCATCATCATCATCATCATCATCGTTACCGTCATCGTCATCGTCATCATCGTCATCGTTCTCGTCATCGTCATCGGCATCTTCGTCGTCATTACCATCATCATGGCCATTGTAATGATGACCCCTCCTCCCAACCCTCCCAGCCCTCCTCCCAGCCCTCCCATTGTATATACAACTATAAAAAGAGAGAGAGAGAGAGAGAGAAAGAGAGAGAGAGAGAGACTCCAACTTTGCTTCCAAACCCGTCGATTGCGACCGTTTTCCATACAGCCAACGTTTTCCTTCTTTTGGCACCCTAATGGGGTACCGCCAAGGGGTATCTGTCTCGCCGTTCGCGGTCAGACTGTGGGGATGTCTCGAGTGAGGCGCCCGTTCGGCGTCCCCGACTCCCTTGATTTCGGAGCAGGCTGTGAGGATGTCTCGGCAAGGCGCTTGTTTCAACACCAGAGAGACAGGGGTGCTGCATGGGCCCGTTCGCGGCCAGATTGTGGGGATGTCCCGAGAGGAGGCGCTCGTTCTGCACCTCCGACTCCCCTCCATTCAGAGCCCCATGATCACCGCGATGCACTGGGGCTAAAATTCCTCGCACACACACACACACACACACACACACACATACACACACACACACACAAGCACTCAGAGTGGGGAAGTGCCAGAAAATGAGATGCACTCATGGGGATCCCCACTTCGAGCTGGACTGAACTTGGCTGAGTTGCGCTGCCATAGACTGAGCTGGGCTGAGCTGGACTGGTCTGGGCCGTTCTGCACAAAGCTTGGTTGAGCTACGCTGGGCTGCCATCACCTTGACTGGCACTGGTCTGCGCTGGGCCCACTCGAGCAGGGCTTGATTTATCATAGCTGGGCTGAGCTGCGCTGACCTAGACCGAGCTGGAACGAACTGCTCGTCTGAACCACGACCTCTACCTCAGAAGTGCCCGTGCAGACACCCCTCTCCCAACCTCCACAGAAGGCACAAAATACCGAGCCTGCTTGCGCATGAAAGCCACGCCTTCCGAGAAGTGTCTGTAGTTTCGAAAACGGCCTACAACGCTTCTCAAAGTAATCGTGGGGTATTATGAGAATCTCCTGGGCGCGTCGCCAATCTACAGAGAAGCACATGGTCGTCCCCCAAAGTGCGCTTTACCCCAGCACTACTACTCATTGTCTCTGACGGACAAGTACAGATACCGCTTGCCAACCCTCCCTGGCAGGCCCAAGAGCTGTGCCTTCTGAAACTTGGTAATACAATACTGAGGGTCTTGGTGGAGACTGGCATAGATGTGCATTTCAGCTCAGCAGAACTAAAAATATGTTCGTCTCGAACGGACCCGCCGTAAGACCTCCTGCACACGACCACTTCTGGCGTGGCCCCCAAGCTACCCCTGCTAGCAGCTCGTGGTCGCGAAGCCTTAAGAGGTTCGAAGGAGCAAGCATGCGACTCCCTTCTCCCTTGTCATGGATTATACCCAAACGTTGCCACAACTTGCGTCCCAAACGAACCCGTGCAAGCAAGCTGACACCCACATGCACCGTTCCCCAGGGTTCTGGGGCACGGCTCGGAGGCGATGGATGTGGCTGCGCTCTGCTGGCAAGCCCAACAGCCGGGGGCGGTCAGCCTCCACCATGTCCTCAGCACAGATGACGCACACCGTGTCGTCACCCTCCGAGCCCTCCCGCTTCAGCGGGTGCGCCTCTGGCAGAAGCCGCTGTGGGAAAACAGCAGCAGGCGATTCCAGGCCATCTCGCGCAGCGCAACGCGCCCCCCAGCGGCCCCAGCCGCGACACGCGAAGCGTGGTCGTCTTCGCGAATCTCTCCGAGCAGGCCCGACCGCCGCGTCGCAATCTGCATGTAGCGGTTGGCCCCGCGTGCAGACGTCCCGCGCCGGACCCCGCCCCGCCCCAGAGCACCCCAGACCACCTTGGGAACACGACGTGGTTGTTGAGAATTCTGGGCTCACATTCTGATGCGTCGGACTGCCTCTGACCGCTGGCCCAGTCGCCAACGCCCCAGCCGCCATTCCAGAGATCAACGCCGATCCTGGCCAGGCCCATCCCCACGCCCCGAGCCCTATCAGAACACCCGCTCGAAACCGGCCCTCGGAACCCTTTCCCAAGGAAGCCCATAGAAGACGTACGTACATGAGTGTGGCCCCCCAATCCGCGAGGCCAGCCACAATTCAGCAGATCTACACCGATCCAGGCCAGGCCCGTCCCAGGCCCAACGCAGGCACCAGCTCGGCTAGGAAGGTGCACAAACCAAAGGCTGGGCCCAGGATCTGGCCCCAACCGGGATCGGTGTCGGGTGTACCGAGCATCGTTTTCACCGATCCATACCCCCCCTTGCGTGGCCTAAGCCCCACGGACACGTGTACCCCCCCAGATGCGAATATAGGATGTTCCCTTCGGGCTTCGAGGTGTTTACCCCCCACCGGGGCGGTGTGATGGTGGGGCTGAGATACCATGGCCCGACGGGGATGGGGATGGGTTTAACGATACTGATGTTCGGTGGCGAGCCCGGGGGGGGGAGTGAGCAGGGGCGGGCCTTCTCGGGAGGCTCGGGAGTCCCCTGGCCTTCTGAGAAGTTTTCTACGCCTTCCCCGAAGACACAGCAGAAACTCTCTGAAGGCCGCAGGGTTTCTGAGAAGCCCCGCCGCCTTCTGAGAAGGCCTCCTCCTTCTCACTTCCCCCCCCTGCCTCGCCGCCGAGCACAGGCTGACACGGCCGGCGACGGACGAGGCGGGATGAGAGCAAGCAGGCGGGCAGAGGCCGACCGAACGCGCGGGCGGGAGGCCGGGGCCGGCGGAACAACAGGGCGGGCGGGCGCTGCAGCCGGGGAGGGACGGAGGGCGCCGTGAGAAACCATCAGTCACGGCGGGCACCCGCACCGTGGTGCGCAAGACGAGAAGGAAGCCGTTCACAGTGAAGAGGAGGAGGAGGAGGAGGTGGCAGATAGGCAAAAGGATTGCTCAGCGGGCGCGTTCACGCGCCTCAGACATGCTCGCGTCGTGAAAAAACACGACGGGCGGTTTTTTGCTTCGGCCTCTGGGGGCCATCGCTGGGACCTGGGACAGTCAAAAAACGACTCAGGATGAACTGGTCCCGGGCACACGATCGGGAGTTCAGGGAAGCCGTGCTGAAAAAACAAAACGGCGGGCAAGTTCCTGCCTCGTTCAGCGCCAACGTGTGCTTGTCCACGAGGCCCTTCAAGACGACGCAGGCGGCGCAACGAGGGCCGACACAGGCTGCGCGCTATCGGCGGAGCCGAACGGGGTAAACACACGCTTGGGCTGACACATATCCTGAGGATCATCTGGGCCCCTGGGGCCGCTGCAGGGTACCAGCCCAGGACCAGACTGCTGCCAGAGACTTGCGGGCTGGGGGTCAGTCCAAACTTGTCTGGTGCTGCCCACATGGGCACATCGAGCTTGCCAAACAGCTCAGAGGTCTCCTTGCAGACCGGCACGAGTGAACAAGCTGCGCTCGCTTCGGGCAAGCAAAACTGGCACTGTGGGAGACGACGATAAAGACGAAGACACACTGACAAAGGCGATGGCGGCGACAGCGCCAATGCGACGACGACGACGACGACGAAGAATACGACTACGACCACGACCACCACGACCACGACGACGGCCGCGACAAAAACGATGACCTCGACGACAACGACGCCGACGACGGCCACGACCACGGCCACCACGGCGGCGAACACAACGACCCCGACGCCCGCCACCACGACAACGACAACGACAGCGCGAACTGCACCACCGACGTCGCGCGCAGGGCCAGAAAGCGCAGGCCTGAGCTGGATCGAACCGCGAAGACGGATCGGATCGGAAACGGATCTGGCCGCGCCCGAATCGGCGCGGAATGGGAGGTCGCTCGGGTTTGCGGGTCGGGGTCTGCCCCTGCAGAACCAGAATGGGAAACGACGGTCCGCGTCGGAAAGGATCGGATCGAAATCGGCATCGAACCCAGACCCCTGAGGTCATGACGTCTTCACGACGTCGACCCAAAGATGTCTGGCCCCCTCCCTGGGGCCGGCTTTTCATCCTCAGTCGTGTTTTGACTGCCCCAGGGCCTAGCGAGGGTCCCCAGAGGCCGAAAACAGCCAAAAACAGCCGCCCGTAATGCGTTCTTCGCGACGCGAGGGGGTCTGGGAAGCCTAGGGGCTCGGGTCAAATATGGCGCGGGCCGCGAGCAGCCCTCGGAGACCCCCTCTGCGGCCAGCGCCGCGCTGGGGTCGGGGGCGTTCGCGAGGGGGGCGTCAACGAGGGGGGGTCGCAAATCATGGCCCGAGGCACGTGCGCGGCCGAGAGGGGGCCCATGGACGTATTGAGAGGAGAAGGGGCGCCGAGAAAGCTGACGACATGTCATGGCCATGGCCGGGCGGCGCCCGCCTCCAGCCGGGACACAAAGGCATGGCAGGCCGGCTCCGGGGGCACCTCCCAGTCCTGCGGGGGCGGGGCGGGGCCCGCGCCGCCGTGGCCCGAGCGCAGACGGCAAGGCTCGCGCCTGCACGACGCAGGCCCGCCGTCATCAGAGTGGGGGGGCTGAACCGAACGGTCATTCACTGTCCCTGCGTGCGTGGCTGAAGTGGAATTCCGCGATGCGGATTCTTCTTGTTTGTTGTTTGTTGTTGCCGTCGTCCCACCCGCGACCCACCCGCGACCCACCCGCGACCCACCCCGCGACCCACCCGCGACCAACCCGCGATCCACCCCGCGACCCACCCGCGACCCACCCCGCGACCCACCCGCGACCCTCCCGCGACCCACCCGCGACCCACCCCGCGACCCGCCCGCGACCCACCCCAAGACCGCCCCGGCGACCCACCCGCGACCCACCCCGCGACCCCCCCGCGACCCACCCGCGACCCACCCCGCGACCCACCCGCGACCCACCCGCGACCCACCCGCGACCCACCGCGACCCACCCGCGACCCACCCCGCGACCCACCCAAAAGACTTCGACGCCTGCGGCGGGTTTTTTTTGCATTCGTTCCAGGTGGAGAACCTGCGACCCACCCGCGACCAAAACCCGACCCACCCGCGACCCAAACTACGTTCACTGAACAAGCCAAGACTTCGACGCCTGCGGCGGGATTCTTTTGCTTTCGTTCCAGGTGGAGAACCTGCGACCCAAACCGCGTTCAGTGTACAAATCAAAATGTTCGGCGCCTGCGGCGGGCTTTTTTTGAATTCCTTCCAGGTGGAGGTGGAGAGCCCGCGACCCACCCGCGACCCAAACTACGTTCACTGAACAAGCCAAAACTTCGGCGCCTGCGGCGGGCTCGTTGTCAGAGTGGGGGGGCTGAACCGAACGGTCATTCACTGTCCCTGGGTGCGTGGCTGAAGTGGAATTCCGCGATGCGGATTCTTCTTGTTTGTTGTTGTCGTCGTCCCACCCGCGACACGCCCCGCGACCCACCCGCGACCCACCCCGCGACCCACCCGCGACCAACCCGCGATCCACCCCGCGACCCACCCGCGACCCACCCCGCGACCCACCCGCGACCCACCCTCGACCCACCCGCGACCCACCCCGCGACCCGCCCGCGACCCACCCGCGACCCACCCGCGACCCACCCGCGACCCACCCGCGACCCACCGCGACCCACCGACCCACCGCGACCCACCCGCGACCCACCCGCGACCCACCCCGCGACCCACCCAAAAGACTTCGGCGCCTGCGGCGGGCTTCTTTTGCATTCGTTCCAGGTGGAGAACTGCGACCCACCCGCGAGCCAAACCGCGCCCGCGACCCACCCGCGACCCACCCGCGACCCACCCGCGACCCACCCCGCGACCCACGCAAAAGACTTCGACGCCTGCGGCGGGTTTCTTTTGCATTCGTTCTAAGAGGAAAACCTGCGACCCACCCGCGACCCAAACCCGACCCACCCGCGACCCAAACTACGTTCACTGAACAAGCCAAGACTTCGACGCCTGCGGCGGGCTTCTTTTGCATTCGTTCCAGGTGGAGAACCTGCGACCCAAACCGCGTTCAGTGTACAAATCAAAATGTTCGGCGCCTGCGGCGGGCTTTTTTTGAATTCCTTCCAGGTGGAGGTGGAGAGCCCGCGACCCACCCGCGACCCAAACTACGTTCACTGAACAAGCCAAAACTTCGGCGCCTGCGGCGGGCTCGTTGTCAGAGTGAGGAGGCTGAACCGAACGGTCATTCACTGTCCCTGGGTGCGTGGCTGAAGTGGAATTCCGCGATGCGGACTCTTGTTGTTGTTTGTTGTTGTCGTCGCCCCACCCGCGACACGCCCCGCGACCCACTCGCGACCCACCCCGCGACCCACCCGCGACCCACCTTGACCCACCGCGACCCACCCCGCGACCCACCCGCGACCCACCCCGCGACCCACACAAAAGACTTCGACGCCTGCGGCGGGTTTCTTTTGCATTCGTTCTAGGTGGAGAACCTGCGACCCACCCGCGACCCAAACCCGACCCACCCGCGACCCAGACTACGTTCACTGAACAAGCCAAGACTTCGACGCCTGCGGCGGGTTTCTTTTGCATTCGTTCCAAGTGGAGAACCTGCGACCCAAACCGCGTTCAGTGTACACATCAAAATGTTCGGCGCCTGCGGCGGGCTGTTTTTGAATTCCTTCCAGGTGGAGGTGGAGAGCCCGCGACCCACCCGCGACCCAAACTACGTTCACTGAACAAGCCAAAACTCCGGCGCCTGCGGCGGGCTAGTTGTATAGCTTGAAAATGTTGCGCCTGCGGCGGGCCTCTTCAGAGCCTCGCAGACTGCAGACGTCCCCGCCGCCCCCTCACTCTTATCCGCAACTGCGGGGTGTTACGTATTGCATCTCGTTCCCTCTTCTCTCCTTCTGCGGCATGTCGTGGCAACCTCCCATACAATTTCGCTGGCCCTTGCGAATCGACGGTCGCTACCCCCCCTCCCCCCCTTTCCTGGGGGGGGGCTTTGCTACCCCCTCCTTGAACCTCCCCTGCGGGAAGCTCCCCGTTCTCCCCCCCTTCTGGCCAAAGGAGGGTGGGGGGCTTGGAAGCCCCCCCCTTAGGCTAAAGGAAGGGGCGCCGAAGACCAAAAAGGAGCCGAAAACCAACAGAGCGCAGAAAAGTCAAGGGGCACCGAAAACCAAAAGTGTGCGAAAACCAACGGCGCGCCGAAAACCGAAGAAACAAAAAACCGAAAGGGCGCCAAAAAACAAAGGTGCGCCGAAAACCAAGATGGCGCTGAAAACCAAAGGAGCACCGAAAACCAAAGGAGCGCCGAAAACCAAAGGGGCGCCGAAAACCAAAAGGTCGCCGACAACCAAAAGGAAGCCGAAATTCAAAGAAGCGCCGGGAACCAAAAGAGTGCAGAAAAGCAAAGGGGCGCCGAAAACCAAAATAAGCCGAACACCAAAAGGACGCCCAAAACCAAAGAGCGCCGAAAACCAAAAAAGGATCCGAAAACCAGCAGGGCGCCGAAAACTCAAGATGCACCGAAAATCACATGAGCGCCGAAAACCAAAGCGGCGCCGAAAACTAAAGGGCGCCGAACACCAAAGAGCGCCGAAAACTAAAAAGGCGCCGAAAACCAAAAAAAGTGGCCGAACTTGAAAAGGACGCCGAATACCAAAGAGGCCCCGAAAACCACTAGGGCGTCGACAACCAAAGTGTCGCCAAACACCGAAAGGGCACCGAAAACCAAAACCAAAGGAGCGCCGAAAACCAAAAGGGCACCGAAAACCAGAAGGGCACCGAAAATCAAGAGGACGCCGAAAACCAAAGGGACGCCGACAACCACAAGGGCGCCGAGAAACAAAGTATCGCCGAAAACCAGAAAGGGGCGCCGAAAACCGATAGAGCGCCGACAACCAAAGAGTCGCTAAACACCAAAAGGGCACCGAAAACCAAAAGGGCACCGAAAACCAAAGGGGCGCTTTAAACCAAGAGGGCGCCGAAAACCAAAGGGGCGCCGAACACCAAAGGGGCGCCGAAAACCACAAGGGCGCCGAGAACCAAAGAAGTAAACCAAAAGGGCGCCGAAAACCAAAGGGGGCACTGAAGACCAAAAGAGGCGCCGAAGACCAAAGGGCGCCGAACACCAAAGGGGCGCCGAAAACCACAAGGGCGCCGAGAACCAAAGAAGCGCAGAAAACCGAAAGGGCACCGCAAACCAAAGGGGCGCCCAAAACCAACGGGCACCGAAAACCCAACAACACCGAACACGAAAAGGGACTCCGAAAACCAACGATGCGCCAGAAAGAAAAAGGGCGCCGAAAAGCAAAAAGACACCGAAAACCAAAGGGGCACCGAAAATCAAGAGGACGCCAAAAACCACAAGGGCGACGAACACCCAAGTGGCGCGGAAACCCATGAGGAGCGCCGAGAACTGAAAGGGCGCCAAAAACCAACGATGCGCCGAAAGGCAAAATTGCGCCGAAGAAAAACAAAGAGGCGCCGATAAACAAAAGGGCGCCGAAAACGAAGAGGGCGCTGAAAACAACAGAAGCTCCGAAGACGGACAGGGTACCGAAAACAAAAATGGCGCCGAAAACTCAAGAGGCGCCAAAAACCGCACGGGCGCTAGGAAGTGTGCCACGAGCGCGCTCTATCACGCATACGTACACACATACATACACACATATAGACAGACAGACAGACAGACAGACAGACAGACAGACAGACAGACAGACAGACAGACAGACAGACAGACAGACAGACAAACAGACATGTATATCTACATATATAGCTAAATATATACTAGAAGCATCGCGCGCGCTTCACGCGCGCTCAGGTTCTAGCAGGCCCCAGGCCTTGACGAGTTCACTGCTCCACTGAAGTAATGGACCACAGATGGTTTGAACGGGAAGGGAAGAAGCGCCCATAACGCTGAACGCATTATAGGCAGTGAGAGATCCATGAATGTCAATCCGCATTCCGGAAGGCTTTTGGGGAAGATGGCTGCGTAGGGGGCGGAGACCTGATGAATCGGGTTCCCAGAAGGCCTTCTGGGAACATGGGTTTGGGGGGCGTCTTGGAGGGTCTGTTGGGGCGTGCGGTCGTCGTCGTCGTCGTAATGTCGTCGTCGCCTCTTTAGGGGGCCACATGCGAACCCTACCCCTACCACCCACGATTTCTGAGAGGGAGGGTGGGGTTCACTTCGTTCGGGAGCTCTCGAGCGAAGTGAACCCACCCTCCCCCGCAGAAATCGTGGGGGTAGGGGTAGGGTTCGAACGTGGCCCCCTACTCTTGGGGCGCGCCGTCGTCGTCATCGTCCTTGTCTTCGTCGTCTCGTCGTCTTCGTCGTCGTCGGTTCAAGAGGGCACTTGGGGCAACTTTGCGCGAAACGATCCGCGGAGGGCCACGAGAAGGCGATCAGTCATGTTCCCAATCAACTTCCCAGACAGCTCTCTGGTAGCGCGATGGTACTTCGGAGCCTCTGGAGACTCTCGGGCCCATGATAAACCATATCCCCGGAAGGC